GTCGGCATCTTCATATCTGGTCACATGGGTGGCAAGCCACTCCCATCCAGTCACATGGGCGGCAAGCCACTCCCATCCGGTCACATGGGCGGCAAGCCACTCCCACAAAGGAAGCCACACCCACAGAGTAGGTTCAAACAATTTTTGAAACCCACCACTGAGTAGGAGTAATAGGAGACTTGGGGAAGTGTGTGAGAAGGAACTGAGAGTTCCTTTGTGTACTTGTGTGTGGATTGCCTAAAGGCTCAGGGGGGCTGTTTTTGTCCTCTGGAGCTTTGGGTGCCCTGTGACATTGGATATAGATAAAAGAGCCTGTGACAAACAACCAGCACAAATTAGGAAATCATGTTTGATATTACCTGCAACCTTCAGCAAATTTGCAAGTCCCAAAAGCTTGGCAGATTGCTTATAGTTCGTGGGCAGCCGAGAGAGACATTCCTTGATAAGGCTGAGTCGATCAGAACACAAGCGCACTGGAGAGAAAATACGTTTATCAAGAAATGCAACAAAATTATATTTCAGGCAGATACTTGTCAAGTGTTCATGAGCGCTATGAATGTAAATGTATATTTAAAGCGGGCCTATGCAAAGCATTCCAACTGGCGTTTTCATAAACCTTGTTGGTGCAAATGAAACATCTCTCTGTGAAGTGCTAAAGCGTCAACATCCTCCGGGAGATTCAGTGTGATTGCTTTGAAGGCACATACAACACTTTAGCCAGGACTATGAACAAGAAGCAGATCAGTTCTATACATATATGCATGTGGAGAAATGTGAGGAGCAGCTGAGCCTTCCAGAGGACACAGCTTTCTGGCTACTTCAAAAAGTGCCTCTTTCACACTGATGTGCATTGCAAAATACCCTTTTTTCAAATGCTGTGAGGAACCCAAATTCAAAGCACAATTGAACATTTCATGTGGCAAAAAAGTTTACTCTAGTAAACATCTTATAAATGGGCCTCTTCCATTTGGAGATGAAATCATCAAGTTAACAGTTTGGAACTTTTATTTCTTTTCCAAACATTGGAAATATGAAATCTGAGATAGCACAGCCCAATCCAGGAGGGTCATCTTAGTTTCCACTCTGTCAATCCGGAGTTAAGTCTGACTTTCCACAATAAATAATTTTGGATTTTCATATTCTACATTTACTTTATGAGCCTGCCGGCAGTACCTTTCTTTTGTATGGTGCCCTGTTTTAAAAGTGTAAGACTAAATACATAATAATATGCAATCTAAAGTTTTTTAAAATGTTTTTGCAAACACTACAGCTGACTCTGTAATTAATGACCTTCTGCACCCATTAAACTAAACAGATTTTAAAGCAATAGTAACATTAGTGATTTCAAATAACAGAAGCATCAAAAACTCTTGAACAGGTATTTTTTTGTGTGCAAATAAAACAAAACAATATCAAAAATGTATCATTAAGTAGGACTGATGATGTATGGCAATATCTGATCATATCAAGGCAAGTAAAATGTATGTCAGGAGAAAAATGGAAGTACCGTCTTTTTCGGAGTATAAGATGCACTTTTCCTCAAAAAAGAGGCTGAAAATCTGGGTGCGTCTTATACATCGAATACAGCATTTTTTTGCTTCCCAAAGCCCCGCCCCTTCACCAAAATGGCCGTGCATACCCTTATGGAAGCTTCCAGAGAGCTCCTGGGGGCTGGGGAGGGCGGAAATGAACAAAAAACAGACCATTTTTGCCCCCCCCCCCAGCCCCCAGGAGCACTTTGCAGGCCTCTCAAAGGCTATGCATGCAATTTTTTTGACAAAAAACAGGCAAAAAACAGGCCTTTTGCTCATTTTTGCCCCCCACCTCTCCAGAAGCACACTGCAAGCCCCTACCCCAAGGCTATTCATGTCTTTTATTTTTTTAAAAACGGGCCCGTTTGCAGAGTGCAAAAACTTTTTTTTTCCTTTTGGAAAGCTCTTTAACTGATTGATGAAAATTACATTGATCAAGTGCTGTCCCAGCAGAAACAAAGTCTTAGGTGCTGTAGATTGTCAGCGAGTTCCTTCTCCAGCACATGGATAAATAACCTCGAAACATCTACCTACCTACCTACTCTCTCTCTCTCCCTACCTATCTACTGTATTTCTCTCTCTATTTCTCTCTCTCTATCCCTCTACCTACCAACCTACCTACTCTCTTTCTCTCTCTCCCTATCTATTGTATTTCTCTCCCTTTCTATTTCTCTCTCTCTATCCCTCTACCTACCAACCTATCTACTCTCTCTCCCTACCTATCTACTGTACTTCTATTTCTCTCTCTCTCTCTCCCTTTATCTACCTACCTACCTACCTACCTACCTACCTATCTACCTACCTATTCTCTCTCGCTTCCTAACTACCTACTGTATTTCTCTCTCTTTCTTTCCCTCTCTATCCCTCTATCTACCTACCTACTTTTTTTTAAAAAAAATTGCCTCTTCAAAACCTTGGTGCATCTTATACTCCGGTGCATCTTATACTCTGAAAAATACGGTAAGTTGAATTCAGCATGAATTGATTATTGAAAAACATAAACAAGAAGCAATAGGGGCAAGAATAATTTAGTAATGATAAATGTGGATTAAATTCAAAAGTAAATAAACAGCATGAAAGAGATATAGAGCTGCTTTGGTCATACAGAAAGAATGAAAAAATCATAAAACAAGTATGTGAAACAAGAATGAATAAGCCGAGATGATGAAGATGAGACCAATGGTTACATGAAGCTGTTGATATACTCCAAGAGGATTGACAGGTTTAAAGAACCAAAGTTATGATACAGTTATAGATATGGTATGGCTGTGGTAGGGATAAGAATTTACAAGTAATGTATGGATATTTTAAACAAGATATATAGTGGTGGGGCGTACGGGAGTCTGCCTGGAACACACCGGTACGGGGCTCTGGAGGGCCCACCCACCTGCCTGAGCTCCTTATCTGTCTTTTAAGCCTCTGGCGCTTCCGCGCATGGCGCATATGGCACCTGGGCAACGGTCCGCCAAGCAGCTGGAGCATCGCAGAGGTGCGCAGAAGCGTCACAGGCAAGTATGATGCATGTGCATGCCGTGCATGTGTACGCGCGCTGCGTGCATCCATGTGGTTAACGCCGGGGCCGGTCTAACCGTACCGGTCGGAACGTAATCCAAAACCCACCACTGAAGATATAGCAGTAATTTATATACTTTATAAACTAGATTTAGTCAAATTACGGTAGTGAGTAACTTTCTTGTGAGCTATGCTAATTAATATGAGAAACACTTTGGATTTTTAAACAATGTGGGTTTTCAGATTCCAAAGTATCTTGGAAAAGCAGACGCAACTATAACATTAGGATTAAATAACAAATTGCAACATACAGTAAACTATGGTCAGACTGAAGATAAGCCATGGAGAACAGTGCATATTCTTTAGCTTTGTTTTGTTTTATTACGTTTTAATAATACAACCTAACTGTTTTAATGTAAAGATTAGAGGGACATTGAGCAATATATCCTAAAAGGAAAATGTAAGGAAGGAAAGGAAAAAAATAGGAATTGGATGTAAATAAGGCATATGCCTCAGTCTTTCATTAAATTTAATGAGACTTCAAAAATATATCCTTTTCGCAAATAACTGAGCCAATCAGATCTATTTATACAAGAATATTGAAATGCAATGATTGTACTTACTACTTACTATGAACCCTTAAGGCTATTCAAAAATTGCTAAAAAGAACCACATGAGAGATAGAAACAATAAGAGTTAAATTGTACCTTGTAATGGTAAAATTTTCACACCAAATTCATCGAAGTAACTGAGAGAACGAATGAGATCTAGTTCTTCTTGAATAACAGATGGACAGTCTGTAATGAGCTGTAAGCAGGATCTTTTTAAAAAAAGAGAAATTTTAAGACTAAATTTTTCTCCAAGTAAAATTAATTTAACAGAAAGTTGACTCATTTTTTTAAAAAAAATAAAATAATAACTAGAATATTGAAAAGAATATTGATAATCTTGAAGTTAATAAAGGAGAAGGGATGTAGGAGACAATGCAGTCTGATGCGCTACATTGTCTATGAACCTTTCTACAGCTTGTTAAACTGTTATCTCTTGGTTATAAGTTATCATATGCAATATAGCACGTGGGAATGCAGTGGCCTAGTAGTTAAGATGTTGGGCTTCGAAAGCATGCAGATGTAAGTACATAAATAGTGGGCCGATAACAGCGTTCCGAGTGACTTGGCAAACAGTCATGCTGGTCACATGATCATGGAAACATCTTTGGATACCATTGGCTCCACGGCTAAGAAACAGAGATGAGCACCACCCCTTAGAGTCGGATATGACTGGACGGGGGAAACCTTTATCTTTTTATATAATATAGCTCAGTGGTGAATTCTGGATCCCGTCGCAACTGGCATGCTGCGACAGAGCCAGACGTCCACCTTGGGCACGCGCGCTGCACTTGCCACCATCCTGCAACGCCCCAGCTGCTCGGTAAGGTTGTGCAGGCGCCGTACACTGTGCGCACATGCGCAATTGGCCCGTTTCCCTCAAAAAGAGGTAAGGAACACGGGTGGGTGGGCCCACCGAAACACCATTCCGGTACGGTAGTTGCTGCTCCCAGCTGCCATCAGTACACCCGTAGCGGGCCGTACCGCCCGGAACCCACCACTGACTAATAATGCCCTTGTTACTGAACAAAACCTTAAAAAGAAGTTACTATGCAATGTGTAACAATGTGCAAAATGCAGCTCCCTTCACTTCATCAAAGTAGCTGTATCGTGTTCTGCTGATTCTGTATTGCATTTTTCCTTTAGAAATGGAGGGGGGGGGATCTATTTACCATACACCGCAATGTATCATTTGCCCAGCTAAATGGATATCCTCTAGCAGGCTTGAACATAGAAGACTTTCAATTCATCAGAGCAACTATATCATTTTTCTGCTCCCACAATCTCTACCTATGTAAACTGCTTACTTTGTTGTATCATTTTCTGCACATTGAAAAACTCAACCATATTTCAAATTATTTGTACAATCCTTTTATTATGGGAACACTAGTTTTTTTCGGAAGCATGATTCATTTACTCAAGGGCCATAGTTTAGAATTTTTAAGAGTATATGTTGAATAGGGAAGCATTCCCTTAAATCCAGATGAAATTGAAACATTGTAATAATAATATCAAAAAAGCAAATAGGTTCCTGATAGTAAAATTAATGAATGTAAATCTTATTTTGCAAAATGTGCTCTCGTGGCAGAAAAGCTAATGCTTTTATTGTACCTGTAATTATGTGCTCTTTTTCACTGTTTATTTTTAAAGGATACAAACATATTTTATTATGTTTTGAACTTAATTAATATAAGCTATTATTCCAGAGGAAAATCCATTTAAATAATAGCACTAGATTAGGAATTGCAAGCCTGGGATATAAAGCGGATATTTAACGTGGATGATAAAATGGTAAAAGTAATTGAGGCAAAATTTATTTTCTACGCAGAAAATGGAAGTATTTTACAATCTTCGTATTCTTTGTGGAGTTGACCAATAAATATTGTGCAGCAAAATGCTGAAAAATAATTTGGATTGTATTCTGACACAAAGAAGAAAGTGATTTTTTTATAACACTTAAAAATCATACCATCCTAAACAAATACAAAAGGATAGAGATATAAAATATTTAGCAAGAAGAAAAAGTGCAGAAACAAAGAGAGGGGAACAAGTATTAACAATAGGAACGAACATAAATATATATTTCTAGGTTTCTTTGAAGCATTTCAAAATGCACTAAAAATTAAAATGAGATAGGTCCTAATGCAGTGGTGACTAGCCATTTTTGGATCGCGTGCCAAAAGCGGGGGGAGTGCAGGGGGGGTGTCGCACGCAGGCATGCCCACACCCATAATGCTATGCACTCAATCCCCCCCATGTGCATGCGCATGCGACCAGCACCCTCCCCCCACTTTTGGCACACTTTTTTCACCCAGCCCAGTCTCCAGAAGCTTTCTAGGAGCATGAGGAGGGTGAAAACAGCCTCCCCCACCAGAGGCTTCAGGAGGCTTCCCTGAAGGCTTTGGGGGGGGATGGCACTACGGGCAAACCGGAAGTCACCGTTCTCGAATTTCCGGGTTGCGCATTGGGTGGTTTTTCGTCCTCCGGAGGGTTCAGGAAAACCTTCGGAGGGCGAGAAACAGCTGAAAAAGAAGGGCAAAGTCAGCTGGTCAGTGCGTGCATGCACGCTGGATTTGACAAGGCAACACCCGCGCCCTGTAGCACGCGTGCCATATGTTCGCCATCAAGGTCCTAATGCATGCATGCTTTCGTAGTAGTCTTAGTGCTTGTAGCTAAACAAATACAGAAAAAAAAAGGATTCAAATTTTAATGACTGGTAACAAGGAAATTATAATTTTTAAATTATTTTTAAGAAGTGGTTATACTGTTTTAGGTTCCCACTTTTAAGCATCCAGAAAGGCACATTCCTATATTGAGATATTATAGTCTTTTGTCACGATGGTCTATTATTATGAAATACCACCAAATATAAAGCTATCATACTATGCGACTAAGAGAGAGCCGAGGTGGCGCAGTGGTTAAATGCAGCACTGCAGGCTACTTCAGCTGACTGCAGTT